GTAGTTTACATTAAAAACTAATTTTAACTAGGAAACTATTGAAACTCATCATTTCATGAAGAATCTAAATCAAGTACTTACAATTGTAAATCTACATAGTTATTAGATTGAATTAGATAATCTGTTACAGTTTTGAATGAAACACATCCTGATTGGATTATACAGAGTAAATATCATTTTGATTGAGTCGTCAAGGTTAATAAAATATGTCATTAATTCAGTCAAAAATAATCATCCAGGAAGGCGATTGTACAAGTATGAAAAATCATATTTTAAGCATTTGATTAATGTAATTCATTGGTAGGTAAATTATAATTAGAAGGGAGTCTTGTGTAGATTTTAGTAATTCAATAGTTGAATTTATGAGTCAATTAAAACTAGACCATCATGGAAAACCTGGAATCACTGGACGGCCAGCTGAGTGGTCTAGATGTTCAGTGTTCGCCCGCATAACCAATAAGTTCTAGGTTCGAATTCAGTGGGCGGAATCGTGGATACACATTGTTGAGGAGTCTCGTATCAGGACGAAACAACCGTTCATTGCTTCCAGGTTTTCTATGTTGGTCTAGTTTTAATTGATTCATGAATTTAACAATTAGAATAAAATAGCTATTTACTTTGTTTTTAAGGCTATTTAATTTGAAGTTAAATTATTTCCAATTTAAGAATCTACAATTCATAATAAATTCTATGCAGCGATGTGTCATTTTCAAAATTTAATTAATTAAGAAAATTCAATAAAAGACCGTATGCACTTCTGTTTTATGATTATGAAAACATGTATAAGCAAATATTGTCCGTATTCTTAAATTAATAATATCTAAATCATCATCAAACACTAATCGCAGTTCTCCGGCGTTAAAAGATTTTTGTATTGTCCTACGTAGTCTCTGAGTTAATATTTCACTCGCCACATCCCCTCTGAATTGTAAACGCATGAACAGGGATTTCTTCTTCACTGTTTGTATTTCGCCTTCGTGATCATATATTTAGTTATAAACTTTCTAGGGTAGCCGTTCTCCCTGAGAGTATTATACAAACTGTTAAGCTCTTGTTCAACTATATCAGCAGAACATATAGCGCGTATACGATAACTAAGGGTTTTGATCAGGTTTCGTTTGTGCTGTAGAGGTACAAAGCTCAGAAAATGCGTATACTGCCCAGTCCATGTACTTTTTTTTGTTTAAGTTCCTTTTCAACGACCCGTCCGCTCTCTTAGTCAAGAGAACGTCCAGAAAAGCTATTCGGCCCTCATTCTCTTCTTCTGATGTAAACTGCATGGCTGGATGTACTTCATTAAATCGCCTAAGAACCTCTTGTGGTGACGTATTATCTTTACACAGGATGAACCTGTCATCCATGTATCTACAGTAAAATGTGAAGTTTTGAATAATCTTTTTCAGTGGACCATTTTCTATTTTTGCTAGAAAAATATCAGCTAGTATATGGCCTAGTGGTGAACCCATTGCAACCCCATCTGTTTGTCTATATATTTCACCGTTGAACTTAAAATTCACATTCATGGTGCATTTGAGTAATAATTCTTTCACGATATTAATAGGAACAGTAGTCTCGATTTCGTTTTCAATCAGTTGTTCGCCTATATATTCTACAGTCTCAATGAGTGGGACGTTTGTGAATAGCGATGTTACATCCAATGACATCATCTTTAGACCCAGCGTATTTGCATTTTTGATTTTATCAACAAATTGGAACACATTCTTAACACTATATTTTACAAGCTTTTCTTCCCTCCTTATTACGTCTTATCTATTTGATCGAATGGTAATTGCACTATTATTTTTCTCACCCTACTTGACCCATATTTATTCTGATCATAGATCTTAAAATCTCACTGAACATATACTCAGATTCAAGTTAACATTCTTTATGAGTCATAACATAACAACATGCACAATTTTATTGTATTTTATTTATCACAATCCTAAATTCACATGCTTTAAACGATGTACTTTGCCCTTAAACTGGCCATTTTTCGGATTATTAATTTGGATTTCAAATAATTTGATTTAAATACTTAAATCCTTTAGTTAATTAAATATGATAAATTTTTCCCTATCCACAAATTTGTGCTCAAAGGATACTCAGACATTCTCAAACTTATCCTGCATTTAGAAATTTCCACTTTTCTACTCTTCTATAAGGATGACCATTGATCAAATACTAGTCTTCGATTCAACAATAGAATCTTCAATACTTATCTAAAAGTATACTTAAAAATGTCTTTGTTGATGGTATCTGGCCAATAGACATTGAATATCTTGCGTAGACAATTATTTATAAACACTTTTACTGCTTTGTAGATGTTTGTACTAGTTCTTCAAGGGTCAGCTCCGTACAGTAAAGCTGTCTCGACGTTAGTATTGAAGATTCCTACTTGTAGGTTGACTGAATGTTTTCTTTAGTTCCAAATGTTCTTCAAGTATAGAAATGCTATTCTTGTTTTGCCAATGCTTCCCGTTACATATACATCAGATCCTCCATGTTCATCAATGATGCTGTCCAAGTAAGTGAATGTTTCCACCTCTTCTAGAGATCCGTCAGGTAGTGGAACCTATAGTCAAAAAGGATTAGAAATATTAACAGTTGAAGAACAACTTAGAAACAGATAAATTTCGTGAGCTCGATGACATAAATATGCCTTAAGTTTGATCCCATAAGAAATATTTACTGTTTACTACCTAGCGTTTCAAAATTAGAAAAACTATTCTGCTTATTACTCTTTCTGTTTTAAATAGCTCTTTTAATGAATGTCATAAACATTCCAATTAAACGACATGTATATTCGTCGGTTGTTTTTCTCAAGATTTATCTTGTGACTAGAATACTATTACCATTCCACGTAAATTTAAAGCTATGATTGCTATATTTCTGATTGACGATCCATTATTTAACTCAATAGCCTATATTTTTCCACATAAGTCACTGCTTACTTAAGTAGTATAATAGTGAGCTTTATACTTTATTATGAACTTGGGTGAATTATAGAATTCGTGTAAATTAGAAAGCAGTGAACAAATATTTTACTATAATGTATGAATTCTTGCACTGCCATCCATAAATTGATAAATGTGCGATACTGATTCATCTATTATATCGATATTTTGTAATCCAATTCTAAGCAATGATGGCTAAGCGAACATGAATATTGGTTAGCGGTGGAATCCAGTACGCGCGTTTCGTCCTATTTGAGACTCATAAACTCAGTAAACCCGCATCTCAGAGTTGATGTTCACTCCTGAACTCGAACCCAGAACCGTTCGCTTTATGCGCCATCGCATTATACACTTAACCACTGAGTCCTGATAACCACTCGCTTCTGTAATGGAGTGAAGTTTAAATTCACTTGACGTTCTTTGCTTGTATCTTCCCAGTCTATTGTTGGCATATATGCATTAACTCTGGAATGCAGGTACATCCAGCTGACAAGTCCCAAGTAGGAAGAAACATGCGTCCTAGATTCCACTATTAGTCGCTATCGATCTTCGCTTATAAAGCTTGTGACTTAAGGCACTATCAAGGCAGTCCGCACAGGATGCATTTATGCCAGCATGAGACTGATCAACTGAAGTCCTGAACAACAATGGGAAAATACAAACAAACAACATGTGAATTCAATGACTAGTTAATTTATTTTTTCATAATGAAATTTTCATTTTACATCGTTATTGACAAACTTCCGAGTCATTTGGTATTGTATGCAAACTATCTAAATATTTCCACATTTTTATACCACAAAATTAATTTAATACTGTGGTATGTGCTATTGATGTCGACAGATATAAGTAGTATATATCATCAAACTAAAGTGAAATGCATGGAGGCAGAAGGTTAAAAAGATCAAAGAAAAGAAAACGGGAACAAAGAATGATTGGCGTGGAAATGAATAGAACAATGATGTTTGAGACGATTGATTAACATTTGCGAAAGGAACATTCAATTTTGAGACAATTGATTTACATTTTGCAAATAAGGTATTTACTGTATGATTCTCAGATTTGACTATCATATTCTATAATTTTGTATTCAAAATGCATTCAATTGTCTCCACTTGTGTTCTCATTCACCAAATTTGATATCAGGAGGTGGGAAGGGTGCTGTTCTGAGGATGCCGATGTGGGCCTGGGACTGAGGTGCTATAATTATTACTAACTTAGTAGCTGAGTGGGTAACGCAATAGCATTTGAAGCGAATAGTACCAGGTTCGAGTTCAAGAGTGAAAATCAACTCTGAGATGCAGGTACATCCAACTGACGAGTCCCAAATAGAATGAAACATGCATCCTGGATTCCACTGCTAGCCACTATCCATCTTTGCTTATAAAAGCTTGTGAATTAAGGCAATATAGAGGTATACGCACAGTATGCACATATACCAATATGAGAGACTGATCAATTACAGTCTTAAAAACTCAATAGGAAGATACAAGCTAAACAATACCAAGTGAATTTAACTACTGATTAGTTTCAAGATAATGTCCTGAAAATATTAGTTAAATGTCATAATAAGTAAGATTTATACATTTTTGAGGTGAAACAATTGTTGTCAATGTCATTGAATTATCTTCATAACAATTGATAACCATTAGAAAAATACACTCTTAAATATTAACTCATAATTCTAATATGTTTCCGTCGCAACTTAGAACATTCAAATCATACATTCAATTCATTATGGTATCGAAGATAAAGATAATCAACTCTGTTAAATCTTATAATAGCTATAAATGCTTCATTTTTGTTTTTGTAATAGGACAATAAATGAAAGTGAATGCTCCCTTCGAATTTATATATATAATTCAATAATTATACCCTCGCTATTTTACACTTTTTGTTGTTGTTGTTGTTGATTATTTTAGCATTATGCAATAGTTGTAATTGATAACAAAAATGATGACATATAAATGTAATCATCAACAAACTATAAATCAGATCATTGAAATTTCTATAATGAAATTCATATTAATAATTTTAATTATTATGAAATATTTCATTTATAATGTAACTACAGATGATATATTCACTAATTCTACAGGTGAGTTAGCTTTATTGTGTACAAATATTATTTCCTAATTTATGGTGTGTTATGGTCTGTTTGTTTGATATATAAACCCAGTATATCTGAAATAAATGATTCGTTTCAATTTGCATAGTGGAGGTTGTTATTGGCATTCTGGACTCAGCTGGATGGGCTAGGCGAGCAATGGACTAAGAGGGCGCTAGGCTGATCAAACCGATCGAACGTCATTGGTTTAGTACTGTATAAGGGTGAATAAGTCGTATTTTGATTGGCGAATAGATTACGTGATAACAAGCAGGTCATAAAGTCACAACAAATGGGTAGTGATTAATGTCATATATGTCAGGTCCTTCTTGGTGCAGATCAAGTCCTATTGGTCAAGGTGGAATATGGCCACTAGTCTAAGTGACTCGATATTGCATGCACTATATTGAGATAAGATGGTGGTTGGACTGTAGTGTGTGTTACTGATGTTGGCAGATGTAAGTAGTATACATCATCAATGAAAAGTGAAATATCTGGAGGTAGAAGGTTAAGAAGATTAAAGAAAAGAGAATGAGAATATTAAATAACTACTGTGTCAATGAAGAAACCATGAAGTTTGAGTCGATTGACTATTATTTTCAAAAGGAACAGTCAAGTTTGAGACAGTTGATCAACATTTCGCGAATGAAGTATTTACTGATTTTTATAAGATGTTCTGTAATTTTGAGTTAAAATAGATTCAATTGTCGCCACTTGTGTTATCACTCACTACAGGACTACTGTTCACTACCTCAAACCACCATCTTATCTCAATACAGTGCATGCGATGTCGAGTCACTTAGACTAGTGGTTACATTGCAACTTGGTTGATAGGATTCGATATGCACCAAGAAGGACCTGACTTATTGACATTGATCATCACCCAGTGATCAGTCGATTGTAAGTATATCATAGTTCTAAAGGAGGTTAGTCGCGGCCCGGACAGCTCAGTGGTAAAATCTCTGACTGTGAAGCGAGGTGACACGGGATCGAATCCGTTAGATAGTACCAGTTTTCTCGGGATTAGAGGTACATCTTGCACGAAACCTTGGTACAGGGTTTCCTACTGACCACCTCCAACCACTATTTTACATTCGTTTTATATTTATATATATTCGTATAATAACATAATTCAATGCAATATTAGGGCTTAAAAATAATTAGAAAGAAAGAAATATCGTATAGAGTTATTTAATGAACAGGGATGCGTTCTGTAATCATAATATAATAAGCGATTAATCCGTGAAAATGTATTTTATATTATTGTATATTTCGATTGTGGCTGATTAAGGAACCAATGAAAAGGGTTTCGTCTTATCTGGGAACCTCCAACTTTATAGATCTATACCTTATAATGATTCAAACTCTGTACCCATTACTTCAAAGGAAAACATGTTAAACGCTAAGCTTTTGATCCTATATAGTTATAAAGTTTCTTTAAGGGATAGTATGTATGACCAATCGAAAGTGAAATACCTGAAGGTAGAAGGTTAAGAAGATCGAAGAGAAAAGAACGTGAACAAAGAATGATTGTTGTGAAAATGAAAGAACAATCAAATCTGTGATGATTGATTGATATTTTGAAAATAAATTATTCGCTGTATAGTTCTCAGATTTTAGTAAGATATTATATAATTCTATATTCTAATATATTGAATTGTCCTCACTTGTGTTCTCGTTCACTACATTAATACTAAAGTAATATCAGAAAGGGGTCGTGGATGTCCTAGATATGAACCCTTGAAGGATGATTTTGACAGGTTGAATATTTAATCTATTCACAATAGCTATCTTAAACCTGTTTCTTACTTATTTGCAACCTTGACACAGTATATGATTTGTCATACTTTACCAACTAAGCTAGTTTCTGTATATAACATGATCACTGAGTAGGAATTTTTGTGTGGATTCTACACATGACCTAAATTTCTTTAAATCTATTCTGTTGAAAATAATTTGTTGAATTAGGCTATATTGCCATGTAGAGCTGAAGGTCTCATATGAGACTGAAGGTTCACCATCGGTATTGTGGATGATTCGACATTACTTTGACAAGTTTTGCTAACTGTTCATACGCCAAATTGGTTTGCTGGTTAACCGATTTCATTCATACTGGTGGTTGCTTTTCAATTTTTTCAAGGGTCATTGTCATTGGGACATTGTAAAGCATATCACCATTGCTAACATTAATGAGTTTGCCTGTTGTGTAAGCGATATACGTCAACTTTGGCCTGTTCATGCTGTGCATAATTGATTGACGCGATCAATGATCGGAATAATTATACATGTGATATAAATGTATATATTAATGATGCGAGTAGTCCACCAGGGTGCTAGATACCTGTGTGGTTGAGCTACAGGATTGAACTGTACTATTCAGATTATAGCGTTAAAGCCTACATGATGTCTGGCTCTCCTGCGAAACGGGATAGAGCTGTACTGTTCGGTTTGTCACGTGAAAGTCTAGATGGTGTTCGGTTCTCCTGAAAAGCGATGTAAAATTACCCTGACTCACAAGGGTATATTATATAACTATTATATAACTATATGGATCGTGGATGCGCACTACTTAGGAGTACCAATATTGGACGATACAGTCTTCTAGGTTTACCATGGTGGTAGTGAATCATGATCTCAACTACTGAAATTACTAAAGTTATAATTGAATCTATATGATAAATATATTGTTATTATTATTATTATTATTATTATTATTATTATTAACATTACAATACATTTTTATTATTACTTTAACAGAGAATATGACCTATTCAACAAATCCTGATATGTATTCTTATTTAACTGAAATAACATTCACAACTGAAAAATATAATGGATCACTATCAGAATTATGGACAAATTCCACTACTATCAACATAGTAACAGGTAAAAAAAAAAGAAAGAAAATTTGTGTATTTTTGATTTGATTTTTCAACAATGTTTCCTTTTTATAAAAAAAAAATTTAGATATTGCTTTAGACAATTAATGCATCCCTGTTAGAAATGGTCAGTGTTCTTTTTCATTGTACTAATGTATTCATCGGTGATATTAAGTATAGATCATAATAGAAAATGTAAATAAACGAGACAATTATAATGTGTAGTGTAAATTATATTAAGAATCATAAGTTATGAATCAATCAATCATATATGAAATTTCAATGATTGTATAATCATCATTTTAATTAAATAAACAAATAAATATATTATAATTAGAATGGGTTTTATAAAGAATTGATAATTCCAATAGTTGAAATCATGAGTCAATTGAAACTAGACCACTCAATCAGTCGGCTGCAACGTAGCACCAGGCACATATATATGCATCGATCCAAGTTGCCATACCTCATTAGCACAACAAGATGAACACCGGATTCATAGAAGTAGTTGATTCAGTGGTGGTAATATATAAAAGAAAGATTGCATATAAAGAGATAGTACAAGAAGATAGAATTAGTTCGTAGAAAGAAAGATATGAAGCGATTTTTATCACATAGTTTAAGAGAAGACAGAGAGTTTGTGCACCGACACCATTGTGATCGATTCTGAGCCATGTCACCCAGAGTCTCCAATCATTGGTTACGATAATCACGCGGACCCCAACCAAGTAGTCTGCATTTACCAACATGGCTCAAACCAGAAGTTAATGTCTTCAAGCACTGATTAAACGTTTTAGTTTGACCGCTCCCAACTTTCTTCCAATTATCTCATACATCAGTTAGCATTGCGCATCGTGGTAATCGGTGTACAGGCATACGCAACACGTGGCCCAAAATGGTTCCAGGTTTTCCATAATGGTCCAGTTTCAATTGACTCATGATTTCAAATATTGAAATAAATATATATCATAATAAACTGATGTACTCTAAATCAAATAAATCATTAAAAGTTAATGAAGAGTAAGATGAATTCAATGTTCCTAAAGGATCCTAAATTAGAAAAAAAAGTCATTGATATAATTTACATTATAATTTAGTAGAATAAATGATATTCCATCAAGGATTCAATTGCCAAATGTAAATATTAAAAAAAAATTATCAAGGATTATTAAGAAGATCATCACTGACTGACACTGCTGCCTCCATCACCTCTATGTCTCACACTCACTCGTCTCCTTTCCAACAGGTGTCCACTCGGATTCGTCCACTCTGGCCACACTCACTGACGTCAGTCAGTCAACTCAGTCTGATCAGGCGTCGCAGTCCACACCACACCTACTCGACACTGGATCACCTACTCCCACTGAGTCGCAGTCCACAACGCCTACACAAACACAGACAGGTAGGTGTCACTTCCCTTCACTCAATTCAATCCTATACAAACCAACTCGCATCAACACCGACACTTCACGTGTCCACACCACCTACACACACATTCCCACACTCACTCATTCTCTCACACAAACCACAACACAACCACTAAACGAATGCGATCTACAACACACGCGTACGCACCCACACGCACACACACACACGAACACACACACAACACTCACAAATTATCACGTCCATTCTCAATTATTCTCACAGACAATTACGCCGTGACGCTCACATTCCACCACTCACACATCTCCACATCGTCACACTCACTCTGTTACAATCTCACCACCCACTCTCACTCACAATATCACGCCTCTCACACTCCTCTCTCCATCTCTCACTCACCACAACTGTCATGCAATACTGACTGACACTGCTGCCTCCATCACCTCTATGTCTCACACTCACTCGTCTCCTTTCCAACAGGTGTCCACTCGGATTCGTCCACTCTGGCCACACTCACTGACGTCAGTCAGTCAACTCAGTCTGATCAGGCGTCGCAGTCCACACCACACCTACTCGACACTGGATCACCTACTCCCACTGAGTCGCAGTCCACAACGCCTACACAAACACAGACAGGTAGGTGTCACTTCCCTTCACTCAATTCAATCCTATACAAACCAACTCGCATCAACACCGACACTTCACGTGTCCACACCGCCTACACACACATTCCCACACTCACTCATTCTCTCACACAAACCACAACACAACCACTAAACGAATGCGATCTACAACACACGCGTACGCACCACACACACACACACACACACACACACTCACAAATTATCACGTCCATTCTCAATTATTCTCACAGACAATTACGCCGTGACGCTCACATTCCACCACTCACACATCTCCACATCGTCACACTCACTCTGTTACAATCTCACCACCCACTCTCACTCACAATATCACGCCTCTCACACTCCTCTCTCCATCTCTCACTCACCACAACTGTCATGCAATACTGACTGACACTGCTGCCTCCATCACCTCTATGTCTCACACTCACTCGTCTCCTTTCCAACAGGTGTCCACTCGGATTCGTCCACTCTGGCCACACTCACTGACGTCAGTCAGTCAACTCAGTCTGATCAGGCGTCGCAGTCCACACCACACCTACTCGACACTGGATCACCTACTCCCACTGAGTCGCAGTCCACAACGCCTACACAAACACAGACAGGTAGGTGTCACTTCCCTTCACTCAATTCAATCCTATACAAACCAACTCGCATCAACACCGACACTTCACGTGTCCACACCGCCTACACACACATTCCCACACTCACTCATTCTCTCACACAAACCACAACACAACCACTAAACGAATGCGATCTCCAACACAAACACACCAGCACACACACTCACAAAATATCACGTCCATTCTCAATTATTCTCACAGACAATTACGCCGTGACGCTCACATTCCACCACTCACACATCTCCACATCGTCACACTCACTCTGTTACAATCTCACCACCCACTCTCACTCACAATATCACGCCTCTCACACTCCTCTCTCCATCTCTCACTCACCACAACTGTCATGCAATACTGACTGACACTGCTGCCTCCATCACCTCTATGTCTCACACTCACTCGTCTCCTTTCCAACAGGTGTCCACTCGGATTCGTCCACTCTGGCCACACTCACTGACGTCAGTCAGTCAACTCAGTCTGATCAGGCGTCGCAGTCCACACCACACCTACTCGACACTGGATCACCTACTCCCACTGAGTCGCAGTCCACAACGCCTACACAAACACAGACAGGTAGGTGTCACTTCCCTTCACTCAATTCAATCCTATACAAACCAACTCGCATCAACACCGACACTTCACGTGTCCACACCGCCTACACACACATTCCCACACTCACTCATTCTCTCACACAAACCACAACACAACCACTAAACGAATGCGATCTCCAACACAAACACACCAGCACACACACTCACAAAATATCACGTCCATTCTCAATTATTCTCACAGACAATTACGCCGTGACGCTCACATTCCACCACTCACACATCTCCACATCGTCACACTCACTCTGTTACAATCTCACCACCCACTCTCACTCACAATATCACGCCTCTCACACTCCTCTCTCCATCTCTCACTCACCACAACTGTCATGCAATACTGACTGACACTGCTGCCTCCATCACCTCTATGTCTCACACTCACTCGTCTCCTTTCCAACAGGTGTCCACTCGGATTCGTCCACTCTGGCCACACTCACTGACGTCAGTCAGTCAACTCAGTCTGATCAGGCGTCGCAGTCCACACCACACCTACTCGACACTGGATCACCTACTCCCACTGAGTCGCAGTCCACAACGCCTACACAAACACAGACAGGTAGGTGTCACTTCCCTTCACTCAATTCAATCCTATACAAACCAACTCGCATCAACACCGACACTTCACGTGTCCACACCGCCTACACACACATTCCCACACTCACTCATTCTCTCACACAAACCACAACACAACCACTAAACGAATGCGATCTACAACACACGCGTACGCACCAGCACACACACGCACACAAAAACACTCACAAATTATCACGTCCATTCTCAATTATTCTCACAGACAATTACGCCGTGACGCTCACATTCCACCACTCACACATCTCCACATCGTCACACTCACTCTGTTACAATCTCACCACCCACTCTCACTCACAATATCACGCCTCTCACACTCCTCTCTCCATCTCTCACTCACCACAACTGTCATGCAATACTGACTGACACTGCTGCCTCCATCACCTCTATGTCTCACACTCACTCGTCTCCTTTCCAACAGGTGTCCACTCGGATTCGTCCACTCTGGCCACACTCACTGACGTCAGTCAGTCAACTCAGTCTGATCAGGCGTCGCAGTCCACACCACACCTACTCGACACTGGATCACCTACTCCCACTGAGTCGCAGTCCACAACGCCTACACAAACACAGACAGGTAGGTGTCACTTCCCTTCACTCAATTCAATCCTATACAAACCAACTCGCATCAACACCGACACTTCACGTGTCCACACCGCCTACACACACATTCCCACACTCACTCATTCTCTCACACAAACCACAACACAACCACTAAACGAATGCGATCTACAACACACGCGTACGCACCCACACCACACACACACACGACACACACAACACTCACAAATTATCACGTCCAATCTCAATTATTCTCACAGACAATTACGCCGTGACGCTCACATTCCACCACTCACACATCTCCACATCGTCACACTCACTCTGTTACAATCTCACCACCCACTCTCACTCCCAATATCACGCCTCTCACACTCCTCTCTCCATCTCTCACTCACCACAACTGTCATGCAATACTGACTGACACTGCTGCCTCCATCACCTCTATGTCTCACACTCACTCGTCTCCTTTCCAACAGGTGTCCACTCGGATTCGTCCACTCTGGCCACACTCACTGACGTCAGTCAGTCAACTCAGTCTGATCAGGCGTCGCAGTCCACACCACACCTACTCGACACTGGATCACCTACTCCCACTGAGTCGCAGTCCACAACGCCTACACAAACACAGACAGGTAGGTGTC